CCTTCACGTCATTGATACTTGACAAATGTTACTAACCGTTACTAATCTGCGTCCTACTAAGCGGAGGCGGGAAAAACTAACAACCATGGCGGAAGATAACACAGAGAGCAGTCAATGGAGAGAAAGTGAGGTTGCTGACTTAATTCATATTTGGAAAGATAGCTCGATTCAGACCAAACTCGAAGGGTCTTACCGGAACCGGGGGAGGGTCTTTCTTTTTGATCTTCTTAAAAAGATTCCGTTCGTAATGTGCCTGCTCCTGTTGGAGAAGAATTTGAAGAACGCAATATACGCTGCGGTATTACTAGTCATGTTTACTCCCGCAAACACTGAGGACGCTTGCTACATGTGACGTCATCGTGTCCTCAAGTGCGCATGCAGGACACTTCGGTTGAACGCTTTCAGTTCACACAGTAGATCACATACAAGTCGCATATACTTGGAAGTGTGAACGGACACGCAAAAAGATCCGATTTCACAAAAAATTCGGAATTGAGCATTAAGGCCTGCAGTGTGAACGTAGCCAGAGACACACAACCACACACACACACACACACACACACACACACACACACACTTCAACCAAAAAAATCTAGAGACGCCAGTCAACCTAACAGACATGTTTTTGGACTTTTGGCAGAAGCGGGTGTACCCAGAGAGAACCCATTCATGCAGGGAGATAACATGCAAACTCCATGGCAGAACGATCCTGGCCTGAAACCAAACCCGGGACTGTCTCCCTGCAAGGCAGCAGTGCTACAAACTGTGCCCCCCTGCACGTTGTTTTTAACTAGTTAAAAGCTTTTCTCACACAACTGGAGTCAAATTGCAGATTTATAAAGTGTTGCTCCAGCTGTCTGGAATGTGTTGCAGGTTGAATTGCCATTAACTGGTAGGATGAAAGCTGGTGTCAGATACCTTCAGACAACCAGCAGGGTAGGTTCAGCCGGTTAGAAGTTAAAACTGTTTAACGTTTCCTCTTCTGGGGTCCTACTTCTAATGATGCTGATGATGATTAAAGTGGTGGATCGTGATTATGGTAATAGTGAAGATGCTAATAGTGTTGTCAGCCCTCTGGACCTGGTGTTGCTAACGGTAACCAGAATGTGGTAGTTAACACAGCATATAACTGAGGAGATGTCGCCATGGAGATGTCAGAGGAACAGGAGAGTTTCCCTCCTCCATTTACTGCCTACAAGCCTTGTGCTCCTGTTAGAGTATAAAGCCTCCATTCGTCCCGTCTCAGTAATTAACTTTAACAAATGGAGAAGCTGAATGAGAAACATGGTGTCAACAGAGCATCAGCTGAACTAAGGTCCTGGGCTGAAACCAAATCAAGAGTTTCTGTATCAACACTGTTTCTGCAACAGGTGGGGGCCCAGGCATTATCTAGATGCTTCTAGAGACTGACGTTTGTCTCCAACACTTCCACCTTATGAAGGAATCAGGCTGCTATATAATGGAGATACGTCTGAGTGGCACAGACATTGAAAGAAAAAGCTTTCTGTTCAGAGAATCATATTCATGTAGAGATGGATCCCTTATAGCAGCGAGTTCAGTCAAAGCTCTGATTACATCTGAGACCGGAGTCTCACAGCAAATTGGAAATTGATGCTTCCTGTTTAGTAACAGTTTAGGGGAAATGTCTAATGACGGAGAAGCGGCTGAGAGGCCGAGCATCATCATGTCCTGGTCGGTGATGGTGATCTCCTCCAGCAGAGCCAAGGCTGCAATCACCCCCCAAGCAACATCTAGAGATGTTTGATGGTCTTCAGTTGGATCACCATAAAGGCGATCACAGCCAGTTAGGAATGAATCAGCTGATCTAACCCTTAAGATGGGCGTACACTGTGCGATTTTTTTCAATTGTTGCATGCAGCTACATCTCACACTGCGCTTTCGTCGTACAGTGTGACTTCAATGCTCACTATTATATTCTCACAATGTGCGACCCGATGCTTTGTTGCGATCTACCTGCTCACACTGTACGTCTACAAAACAATGTCAGACTAAGCTCCTTAGTGAGATGGCGCTACTCAGACTCGTTTATCCGGAAGCCAAACAAGTAGAAGAGGAATATGAA